ATATATATATATATATATATCAAATATTCAACTATTAATCACGTGTTTATAAGAGAATGTCATCTATAAATTATGTCACATTTTATTGGTATAGTGTAAGATATATTATAAAACTTCCTTTACATTTCAAACATGTAATAAAAAGAAGTAAGACATTCATTTGTCTCATTAAAATTTAGTTATTATAGTGCATTAAAACAATTAACTAGCATGTTATATGTCTATGTACTTAAGGTTAGTTAATTAGTAATCAATTTTTTCAAAAGTCTATCCATAAAATTTACATCTTATTAATATAGCATTAGGAATATACATACATTTAAATTTACAAGTTATTGGATGTTAATCACCTTAAAAGTTACACCAACATCAATTTCTCCACAATAAGATTGATCTGCACGAACTACTCTGTATTTGAGAAGTTGTAACTCATTTACACCATCCTTTACTCCTATGGCTAATAAATCCTCCACATAGATCCTACATATAAAGAAAAATAATTCCCTTAAAACATAAACAACATTTAAACAAAATATGGTGAGATTAGTGAGATGTATTTCCTATATGATCAATATGTTAAAATCTTACGTGGCTTGACCAACGAAGTCATCTTTAGATAAATTGTCTTTGTCCATGATTTTTAGAATGATCTTGTATGAATGACTTGGTGTAGGATATTCCACCTTGAACACAAATTTCTCATTCCAAATTGGATTACTACCCTCTCCTGCATTGCATTAAGTCAAAAAACCGTTATTTTTCCCCCATTCATATCCTTAACTATTTTTTAAAGATCATGAAAAAAGATTTAAATAACATATTATTAATAGTCAATTGAAGAAAAAAAAAACAAAGGGAAAATTTGTTTTGCTCCCCATATTGACACATGTAAAAAATACATACTTTGTCTTAATCAATAGCTGTTAGTGAAAAGTCTATTTCACAAGACGTTGTAACACACATCAATGAAGTTTAAATAGTGTTTAGTGGGAGAAAAAAAATAAGGGGAAGGGAGAGATTTTTATAATTTTTTTTATTTGATTCAATTTGTAGGAGAGAAAAAGTAGAAAACAAAATCTTTTCTCATCTAATTTTAGTAAAATATTTTTAACATAATGACTAAAATCACTTTTTTTTTTATGAATTATAAAATATATCAAGAAAACTTCCTATAATTTGATTTGATTTGATTTTGTTAATATTATTTAGTTTTTTATATGATAAATTATGATATTAAAATTTTTCATTAATTTTTTTATTTATCAAAATTACATTGATAATAAAAAAAGTTCAAATGACTTTACTTAAAAAAATTTCATTCATATTTTGTCTCTAAGATTATGATTATTTATTAATTTATTTTAATTTTTTCTAATAGTCTATAAAAATTATGAAATATTTATTTTTAGTCATTTAAAGCATCCTTAAAAGGAATAAAAATTTATTTGTTATTAATTAATATTAGGATAATCAAAAAACTAGCAGTCTAATTTTTACAAATTTATATAATTAATTTAACCGAAAACATATTAAATTTTTATATAATTATAATTAATATTTCATATTCAATAATGGTACAAATACATACACATATATTTTAAATGTTAAATTATTTTATATTTTCACTAAAAATGAAATCAATAAAAATTTAACTATCTCCCTTATATTTGGTCTCTCAAAACATATTCAATTATTAAAAAAAAATTATATCATAACACTTGCATTTCATTAGTTAACATAACAATTAACTATCTAATAGTTAAGACTTAAATCCATGAGAAGAATCTAAATTAAAAGATTATTTTATTAGGTGGAAGACTCTCAAAGCTTAAGTATCACATTAAGCTTCATATTTTATTAAATTGTCATCTCCTTTAAAAATATACATTCATTCTACCGACACTGACACTGATATGATGATAATCCTTTTTTCTTTGACGACTTCATTCACCTATCAGTATTTAATTTGCACCTTAATCTAATATATAAGTAATCCTTTTCGTAACTCGACTCAAAATGAGAGTACCAATAATTAGAACTTAAATACATAAGAAGAATCCAATCCAAAAGACTAGTCCCCTAGGTAGGAGAGCTTCAAATTAATGAAATAATTTATTTTTTTAAAAAAATTCAAATGCCTTGTTTGGAAATTTTTTTTCAAAGAATTTAAATTTCAAGCATTTGTTAAATTTCTTAAAATAGAAAAATTTTAAATTATTTTTTAAAAAGTAAAAATTTAAAATTCTTTATATTTTTTCTTTTTTATCTCACCTATATATTTTTATCTCTCTTCTATGTCTTATGTTTCCTTTTACTTACCTCTCTTTCATCTCTCATAGTTTATTTTCTCTCTCCCTTCTCTCCTCTCTTTCTCTCTCTCTCTTATTTCTCTTTCGTATTTTCTCCTTTAAAACTATTAAATATTTAAAAATTGACTAATATTTATTTTTATAAATTTTAATATATATATATATATATATATAGAGGAGGGTTCAAACGACACCAGTGTAACTTTTACTAAGTGTTACACCACTTAATAACTTTATATTAAATATGAATTTTAAAAATCCAACCGTTAGATTGAAAGTTCATATCTCTTAGATCATGTATGTCAAATTTTGTTAAAATTGAACAACAACTTGAAGGTAATCAAAGTGTTCATATATTAGTATATTTTGAAATGTATATATTACGTCAATTTTTTTTATGAGAATGAAGCATCAAATCATCTTAGATTAATATAAAATTTGACATATGTGATCTAAGAGATATGAACTTTCAATCTAACGGTTGGATTTTCAAAATTCACATTTAATATAAAATTACTGAGCGGTGTAACACTTAGTAAAAGTTACACCGGTGTCATTTGAACCCTCCTCATATATATATTTAAAATTAATTTTATTCATTATAGAAATCAAATTATAATATCCAAACAAATAATTTAAAATTTATAAAAAAAATTAAATTAACCTCTTCAAATAAAATATTAAAAAAAAGATAAAAATTAAAATCAAACTAATTTAAATTTTAAAAAATTCAAATTCTTTAAATTTCTCAATGACACCATTAAAACAATCGAATACATGAAATTCAAAGCAGAACCATTAAAGCAATTGACTACATGCAATTCAAAGCAGAATGAAGAGATTTGAAGGCAGTACTAATTTCACAGTGATTTGAATGTCAACTAGAATATGTGATAGAATTTTGCAATTTAGAACTAATTAATTACCCTTTGCAACACTGCTCCTCTGTTCTTGGCCATTGTATTGAATCACAACATACGGATCCATACCACCTATTAACAGAACATTAAAGACAAACAACAAACAACCTTATTAGAACTGTTAAAGTACGACTTAATTAGGACACAACAACTTGAACTTATATTGGTGCTTGATATATTAGTTTTTGGTTTGCTTAAAGGAAAACTCATTAAAAAAAAGTTATTATATACACTACATTTATTCTTTATCCAGAGGAATCCAACTTAATATCAGGATATTTACACACATATTGTTGAATCAACTAAGTTAGATTCTCTTAACTATTACATGTTAAAGGGTTTACAGAATCAACATAAAAATGTTTGATGAAAGCTGTTGAAAACAAAATGAGGCAATAAATATATACCTAAGATATCAGTATGCCACAACTCTTTTGCCTTCACAAGCTGCACCTCCATGAACCCAATTGCCATCTCTTTCTCAGACTAACAGTGTCTTTGTGTATGAAGATTATAAGTTAGCAAAATTCTTAGTATCTTCCTTTAACGTTGGAAGGGGTGGTACTTGCTTTTTATAGAGGATTCATCATTAGTGGCTTATAATATAGTAGACTTTGGCAAAAACGGGTCAACCAGACACCCACCCACCTTAATCTTTAAGTATTTCCATTTCCTATACCAAAATAAACAATTGTCAATTGGCACCAATAAATAATACAATATAGCTAAACTTTCCTTGAAGATGTAAAAATAATTAGTGTGTTTGTTTTTCCGTTACTTCCAACTGAGTGTCAATTTAACAATTTTCTTATTTTTACATTTTTGTTTTAAAAAGTGAAAAAAAAATCTATTGAATTGTGTTTAAACAAAAAAACAAACAAACACACTTTACATAATTAACATTATTCACATCACGTGAATCATGTGATAAATATTTAAGAATTTTTTTAAGAAAGTTAAGTAGTTGTTAAGATTAACAATGTCACAAACAAGATGAATGATATATATAAATTATGAATAACAACCTTTATTTTATCAACTGATTTTATAACAAAATTAAGTTTTTAATTCATTTTTTTAAGACGAATTTTATGTTTCTTAATCAAGAATTAAAATTTAGATATAAAATCAGGATTAAAAAGACTAGTTTATATTTATATAGAGATGAATTAAGGGAGAAAAAGTTTTATATTGTACTTGAGCAGCAGGGTGTAGTTGGTCTTGTACTCGGAATCTTACTATTTAATGGTGAAATGTAAAAGGCCATTGAAAAGGGAGATGTATGTAAGTAGTTCAATTTTGACCCAGTTTGGTGGAACTCTCGTAAACTAAATTAAAATGGTTTCAGAACGGGACTAATTATTATTTACCTCAAGTTGCAACGTGAACAACAAGGTGGTGTTATTTTAATCTTCTTCATCATTTGCCTCACGTTGTTTTCAACTTATTTGGAGGGTTGTTTTCTACTTGAATTCGGAATCTTGAGACCCAATTGACTATTGAATCAAGCATCGAAGCCATTCACACATGATGCTTATGAATCATTCATTGCAGATTTTTTTTTTTTTTTTTACAAGTATATTTTATAGGCGATAATCCCAAATTTAAGAACATTTGTTAAATTGGAATAATTTTACTTCAGTTGATTACTAGGGACGAATCTAGAACCCTATCAAACAAGGAGCTGAATTTTTTTTAATAATAAATTCAAATAAATATTAAATTGGAATAATTTTACTTTAGTTGATTACTAGGGACGAATTTAGAACCCTATCAAACAAGGAGCTGGAATTTTTTTAATAATAAATTCAAATAAATATTAAATCATATTCGGTAAATACATCATATCTAATTTATGAATATTATTTCTTTAAATCATAAAATCATCAATAATATAAAATATGTATATTTTTAATCAATCTTTAATATAATCATAAATTTAATATAATAAATAAATTGTATTATAACTATTTTTTTAATTTTTACATGATAGTTAAACTAAGTTTCTTGGTTTAGTAATTATAAATTGTATTCTTAGATATGGAATTGGCCTATTGGTCTCACTTGTATTAAAATAATGTTTAATTATAATAATATTTTATAATTATAATTAATCATTAGTTGTCAATTTTGAAACAGTAGATCATTTCAATTAAAAAAAAAAAAAATCGATAGTTGAGAATGAGGAGAAGGAAATGTGAATTAAAGTTTTTTTTTTGTATTTTAAATTCTTTTACCAATATTAAGAAACCAAAATCTGTACAACAACAAAAAGACATGCTTTCATCTCATGCTATACTATGTATATCTTCAAAACAATGCAAATCGAGTTACGTGTAACACGTCTCATGCATTTCCATTTCCTCTCCTATGTACGAAGAGGAGAAGGATATAAACTTGGATTAGGAGTGCCACTATTGCTTGAGCTATTACGACCATTTATTTTAATGGTTTGATCTTGACACTGAGAGTTTCCAACTGCATCATCACCTGTGTCTTTGGACTCCTGAAGATGTTCCAATGATCTCACCACCTCATCTATGTTTGGTCTCACTTTTTGTTCTGTAGACAAGCATAGAATTGCTAGGTGAGCTATTCTCTTTGCTTCTCTCTTTGAGTATTGGCCTTCTATGCGAGAATCCATGACTTGTGAAATCTTCTTTTTGTTGATGAGAAGTGGTTTGGCCCATTCAACCAAGTTATGCTCCCCGTTTGGCCTGTTGTTGTCCAGTGCACGTTTTCCTGACATTAGTTCCAGCAGAACAACTCCAAAACTGTACACGTCACTCTTTTTGGTTAGGTGACCTTCACAAAAAAAAAAAAAAAAAAAAAAAAAGGGAAAAAAAGAAGGGG